TCGACAGTTGACGAGCTTCCCCGAACACACAAAGAATCATCATTACCACCTGCTCTCCTGGCGCGCCGAGTGGAGAGGACAGTACATGGAGATGGCTAATATAAAATGAGAAAGATCACCACACAAGAAGGGTATCTGCTCGGTGGATCCAAAACCCCTTAGAGAGGGAACGGCCATCCGAAACCGAGTTAACCGGTCCCGGCAAGCAGCATGAACAAAGGGGAACCCTTCGTTCTCCCGAGTGAATGCCTTCCAGGATGAGTCCTTCTAAACCCGGAAACCTGCCTTTATATTAGTCGTATCTTCTCCCTTTTGCTTATAACACTCCCTTAAACACTTGTAAACAGATAGATGTCTTGATCCCCGGATGAGACTTCTCACCCCAAGCCCGTATAAGTCTCCCTCCTGAATACTTGTTCCAGTAGGACGTCCACTGACTAGGGTGCCGGAGAACCTTCGGGAGAGAAACCCCTTTTCGATCTTCTCGAAGGCCCGATTGACCTCTTGTGTAGTGTTCGCAGTATCCCGTATCGCGGTCACTCCGTACTCGGGACCAAAGCAGGCTTCTGCCCCGGAAAGACTCGTCGCCTTTCCCCCAAGAGGACGAAACTCGGAGACACAACTCCACCCCCAAGACGAATCACACACCTCCACGTGGCATCCCGGTATTTGCTCCCAAACAGTTATATTAAAAAGAGTTTTTGTGTTCCTGATTTTGACATATTTGTTAATATAAAATATAATGAATGACAACATATACAAAATTTGATTCATAAAATAATGTTTTAATATTTTGAAAAAAAAATATACATGTAAGAATTAATATATGTAAGATAATATTTTTAAATATTTTAAATAAACATATAAAATCGATTATTCTTCTTTATATTTTTTGTCTTCTTTGACTCATATTTTTTTCTATATTTTACTATAAATATATGTGGATTTTTCTCCAACCTATTTCTAGTTTACATAAAGAAGAAATATTGTTAATTGTTTCCTCCAATTATAGAGAAAAAAATAACATTTCTATTTTTCTCTATATTAGAAAATTTAAAATTTGCTTTAAACCAAAAATATAGTCTGAGATTTTTATAAAAAACTAAATCATAAAGATTCATTTTTACTTTTACTTTTACTCTACTTCTTATTCATATATAACTTTATTATAATTTAAATTCTTGTTATATAATGAGAATGCATTCACATATGATATAAACTTTCTTTTTCTTATTTAAAATTGAGATTTATTTAGTTTTAACTTAACCAATCAAAATATTTCATTTATATTAAGAAATTTGCTATATCACATTTCCAAATTATCATTAATTTACACTAACTTTTCTTCTGGTTGGGAGACATTTTTTTTATTTCGTTAAAACTGCTTGTCAAATAATATTATGGATAACAAACTAACTAGAGAGTAAAAATGTATTAGTAAACCATTTAAACAAATTACCTTTATATATATATATAATATATATATATATGTTGGAACTTATTTTTGAAAAATGGCTGAGGCCAGTTTTCTGGCGACATTTCCGTTGAGAACAGTTACTGAAATGACCGGATTATGGATTCTTTGGATTCCTTGTAATCAGTACTATAAGATAATATTATGAGTACTATGGATTCTTTGGATTCCTTTGAATACATTAATGTATTCACTCGTCAAAAATAATTTACAAAATATATTAATAACATCTAAACAAGTTTTTAATAAAAAATTTTAAAAAATACAATTTTAAATAAAATACAATCATGATAAAATAATTTAAAGAATAAAATATTAAAAATAATAAAAAATAATAAAAAATAATCAACTTTTATTGAATTGTTTTTTAAAAAACATAACTTTAGTTAATTTTTCTTTTCAAACAAATATTTACTAAATGAATAAAATATATACTAATTATTATTTTATAATATTAATAGGACCTTATATTTTTCTATAACTTTTATCATCTTTATATTGTTGTTTTCTAAAATGTACATAACTTATGTTACCATCTCATCTTATCTCTTATCATATTTTAAATAAAAATAAATTTTATATCATATGTATATATATATATATATTTATACATAAATTTATTTTCATTGTATACCAAACTTTTGAGAACATAAAGAAAATCAAAAATAACCGAACAAAAGAATAAATTATAATAAGATGAAACAATATGAATAAGAAATAAAAATAGAAGTATATAAAAATAAATCTCTCGCACTTTATTTTACAAAGTCTCTTAAAAACTTTTTAACACCTAAGAGCCATATTTCAATTTTTTTACAAATACGTGTACAGACATAAATATTAATTGTATATTAGTTGAAGTCACATGCAAACTTTTCCGTGTATGTATTTTGTTAAGATTGATTACAGACTAATTTTTATTTTAATTATTATACAATTTATATTTTAAAAAATATATTTATCCATTCTAATTGATGACATGTAAATGTGATATGACAAACTTCCTAAAATAAACGAAATATTTTGATTGGTTGAATTAAAATTATAGAAATTATAGAATTAAAACATAAATAACTAGATTATATTTATAACACTAAAATTAACAAATTTAGATAATAAAAATTATTATAATTTCAAGTTTTTACATATATTCATAAATTCATAAAATATAATTACGAAAAAATTTCAATAATATATATATATATATTATAATTTCATATAAAACGAAAACATAATACTAAATTATCCAATAGTATAATAAAAATTCTATTTATTAATAATACCTGAAGTATGATATATTTTTATTTTAGAAAGTTATTAATTTATAAAATATATTAATAACATCTAAACAAGTTTTAAATAAAAAATATTAAATAATATAATTTTAAATAAAATACAAACATGATAAAATAATTTAAAGAATAAAATGTTAAAAATAATAAATAATAATATAAAATAATCAACTTTTATTGAATTTTTTTTAAAAAAACATAACTTTAGTTAATTTTTCTTTTCAAAAAAATATTTACTAAATGAATAAAATATATACTAATTATTATTTTATAATATTAATAGGACCTTATATTTTTCTATAACTTTTATCATCTTTATATTGTTGTTTTCTAAAATGTACATAACTTATGTTACCATCTCATCTTATCTCTTATCATATTTTAAATAAAAATAAATTTTATGTCATATGTATATATATATATATTTATACTTAAATTTATTTTCATTGTATACCAAACTTTTGAGAACATAAATAAAATCAAAAATAACCAAACAAAAGAATAAATTATAATAAGATGAAACAATATGAATAAGAAATAAAAATAGAAGTATATAAAAATAAATCTCTCGCACTTTGTTTTACAAAGTCACTTAAAAACTTTTTAACACCTAAGAGCCATATTTCAATTTTTTTACAATACGTGTACAAACATAAATATTAATTGTATATTAGTTGAAGTCACATGCAAACTTTTCCGTGCATGTATTTTGTTAAGATTGATTACAGACTAATTTTTATTTTAATTATTATACAATTTATATTTAAAAAAAACATATTTATCCATTCTAAGTGTAGTGAAGTGGTTGGTATGTCCGCACATGCATGTGTGCCAACCATCTATCCACTCTTAAGAATAAGTAAAAATGGTAAAACTATTTCAGTTTAATTTGCAATAAATCAAGAAAAATATATACTTAAAATATATTATATATGTATTTGCAAATTCATATTATGTAAGACGTAAAAAAGCATATTGTAGATTGTGTGAGGAGAAATAAAGCATATTATAGAAATATTCAAAAAATATTATAAAAAATTTAATTATTATTTAACATAAATTTTATATTTTTGATTATATATTATTACAAGAAATATAAAAAGAAAGTTTTTAAAATACATTGGTTTCAGAAAGAAGTTTGTGAAATATTAAAATAATATATATACAAACATACCAATGTTTAAAAAAACTAAACAACATTTAAATATTATAATTAACTATGTATATAAAAAAATTAAACTCGCACATATGTGCGGACAACCACCTAGCATTCTTTAAAAGATAAATTTGCATAACTCGATAAATCTTAATGATTGAGTCGAAAGTTAATAACGGAATATTCCCGTTTTGCCCAGATCCTTATCAGAAAAGAAATAAAAGATTTCTGGAATATTGCCGTTTCTCTTATTCTTTGCGATAAAGGAATAGAAGATTTTTGGAATATTTCCATTTATCTTAGAGTGGAGGCCAAGGCAAACCCTTGCGCCACAATCCTTCCATCCGCTGTATATACTCGCCTCTCTCATTCATTATTCATCATCAGCGAAACACATAACTTTCAAAAAACACAAATATCCAGCAAATATCTTTCGTCTCTACAGTCTTAGATAAGTCTCGAGAGTATAGCGTAGGTTCTTGGATGCTGCGACTTTAGTCTCAACACGGTTGTATCCTGGGATTCTGAATCTCATAAAACCGTCACACTGCGTGAGATTTAAAGAATTAAGAAAAGAGATCAAATCTCGACTCCGTGTATTCGTCTCTTTTCTAAATCGTTTTATTCAATAATTTTATACGATATTATTATTTATATAGATTTCAAAAGTGATTTTCAATCTAGATTTTCACGATGTTATAATATATATATATATATATATATATATATATATATATATATGCGCTAGAATATGAGCGTGTTTCACAAGCACAATCACATATATTACAAGCTTCTCAAATAGCTGTCACCTTGGTGGTTAAAGACTCTATGTTAAGTTATTTAATTAGACTTTGTTAAGTTATTTAATAGAGTCAATCCCTTCATTTGCTTGTTCAGTGTGTTTCTTTTAAGTCATGTGCACATGTCACTTACGTACTTTGTCGTCTTGTTTTTTTTTTATATTTTTTTTTGAACATTTGCTTTACTTTGTCCTCTTACTTCCAGCCTCGCCTAATATTTATGAGTCGATATACTTTGTCCTCTTTCTCCAATATTTTTTCGATATCGGTTTTGTGAGATTCCAAAACAGTATCTACACTTCGAGTAGCAGTGGCAGAAATGATAACCATCGACTTTCAAAATTGTTTAATCTTAATACTCTTATGTTTCTTCGCATTCCTCTATTTTTGTCTCTTCTTCAAAAAACCAACGTATAGCGTTGATCTGCCTCCAAGCCCTCCTTCTATTCCAATCATCGGTCATCTTCACCTTCTCCTCTTTTTTCTACCCCGCAAGTTTTTTTTTTATTTTCTACCCCACGAGTCTTTGCATACACTGTCCTCCAAATATGGACCTCTCCTCCATCTCCGCATTTTTAACTTTCCCATCATCCTCGTCTCTTCAGCCTCTGTCGCCTACGAGATCTTCAGGGCCCATGACGTCAATGTTTCATCTCGCTTCCGTACGAACGAGGGGTCCTTCCTCTTAGGTAGTTCTGGATTTGTTACCGCACCTTATGAGAATACTTTAAGTTCATGAAGAAACTCATTGTTACAAAGCTGTTCGGACCTTATGCACAAGAACAGTCGCGAAGTATCCGCGCAGATGAGCTAGAGCGGTTCTACTTGAACCTGCTGGATAAGGCGAGGAAGAAGGAGAGCGTTGAGATTAGTAAGGAAGCGAAGATGCTAATAGGCAACATCATTTGCAGGATGGGCATGGGAAGGAGTTTTACAGAGGAGAACAGTGAAGCGGAGAGTTTCCGAAGTTTGATTACAAAATCAATAAATTCGACGAAGTTGATTTTCTCGGCACTGCTGTTATTTAAACAGCTCGAGAAGCTTGGGAATTTATTATTCAAGAAGAATATAACGGCTACTTTCACAAAGTTCGACGAGTTCCTAGAGAAGATTCTTGTGGAACACAAAGATAAAGACATCAAGGATCATTGTCCGGATATGATGGACGTATTGTTGGCAGTTCACGAAGACGAAAACGCCGAGTACAAGATCACTAGGAACCACATCAAGATGCTTTTCATGGTAGATATTCCATCTCAGGCAGTTTTTGAAAATCCAAACGAACTTCAAATATATATTATAGAGTTTTTTTTTTCTGTTGGACACTATATTATCGAGTTTTTCTTACCAAAAAAGAAAATCAAATAAACACGTGTGTTCAATTGCAGGAGCTTATTTTTGGAGGCATTGATACCTCGAAGAACACAATACAATGGACAATGGCCGAGATCAATAAAAATCCTATTATTGTTGAGAGATTGAGAAAAGAAATTGATTTTGTTGTAGGGAAATCAAGGTTGATTCAGGAAACAGATCTACCAAATCTCCCTTACTTGCAAGCTGTCATCAAGGAAGCACTAAGATTGCACCCGCCGATACCCCTCATACCAAGGGAATTTCAACAAGGATGTAAGGTAGGAGGGTTCTTTGTAGCAGAGAAGACAAAGCTTCTAATTAACCTTTATGCTGTGATGAGAGATCCAAATTTCTGGGAAGACCCTCTTAAGTTCAAGCCAGAGAGATTTTTAACTTTTCCAAGATCAGAGCAAGAAGAGGAGAGAAAAGAGCAAGCATTGAAGTATCTTCCTTTTGGCGGCGGAAGGAGAGCATGTCCTGCTTCAAAACTAGCTTATATGGTAGTAGGAACAACAGTAGGAATGATGGTGCAATGCTTTGATTGGAGAATCAAAGGAGAGGAGGTCAACATCGATGAGTGGCTTAAAGGATTTAATCTAGCCATGGCACATCCACTTAAGTTGACTCCTGTAACTAGAATATCCACCCTTGACTTGAAAACGTCACTGAAGTTGCAGACATAACAAGGGTATGGTTAATCCTCAAAAAGTAAGGGAGAGGACAAGCTCTCTATTAGTTGTGCATCTTCTCCATGTACCATATATATATATAAATCTTTTCCCGTGTTTTTATCATGGTTTAGTTGTAATTCTCTTGTTTCGTGTCGGAAACTGTGAAACGTCGTGTACCTACTATTGTAGCAAAAATTACACCAGTTAAAATTGATAAATAGAAATAACTTGAAGGACATTTTTTTCTGTCAAACTTTTGATTATATTAATCTTAATTTCGAATTACAAAAGCAGTGGGCAGGAGACTACTCTTGCTAAGGAGTAAATGCTATTTATTACAGAAATGAAAGACAAGATAGTAAAAAGATAGTTTACACAATTTAAATTATATATATGAATAGGGAATAACCTTTTCCAGCAGCTTGACACATCAGCATTTTAGATTAATTTAGAAGTGACAAGTGGCTAACTAAAATTAAAACAATCCAATAAATAATTATTATTAAATAAATTTTATTAGTTAGATATAAAACTGCATTTTATGGAATATGAAACATCTATTTATTTATGATTTTAAATAATAAAACTAAATTGAATTTGAGCTAAAAATAATTTAAAATATAAAGAAACCATAGAAAACTACTTCTTTTTTATTGTAAAAACGAAAAAGGATTTCTCAAAACAATTTTTAGCAAAAAATAAAAAAAATTGATAATGCTCGTGAAACTTTGATGATGAATGAATCATTTACATAACAAACAGATATTTATTTAAAAATAAGATATAGTTGTAATTTGACGATAAAAGAATATAAAGAAAAAAAAGAAAATAAACTATTATTTGCATGATATGTGTAATAGTCCTATTTGATGGTATTTTAAAAGTTAAATAAAAAAATAATAATTATTAAAATAGAATCATAATTATGTTTGATAGATCTCTCCAAAAATAGTATATAGTGTTATAAATTGATTGATATCATAAACTAAAATATAAAAATATAGCTTTATACAACTATATATATATGATATAAAAAAACTCAATCATTATATTTGTGAAGTAATATTGTTCGTGAGAAAATTACGGATTTTTTACGGGGCTGTGTGTGTTCGTCCGAGTAGTACAAGTAAGCCTCTTAGATTAGGCTTCGAGGATTGAGCGGTATATACTCCATGGATGAGAATTCTTTTGGGTCCTGCAAACATTCACAGTGGGTGAATCGGGCCTTTGGAAGACCGGAAATAGGTTTCTCTCCTGAAAGTTCTCTGATGCACAATTTAGATTACGTCCCGCAGTGAACAGATAATCGAGAGGGCGGACGGATGGTGATTGCTTTATAGCTTGGATATCCCGTCCAAAGATCGTGATACTCTTCTGTCATTTGGCAAAGGAAAATGTGAAATGTATGAACCATTGAGAGAGTGGAGGTGGAACTCTCTCTTAATGGGGATATAGTAAAGAGATAGAGAAGAAGTGAATGCTTATCTTAGTTGGCGCTCCTTTGGGGGAACGTTAGAGGATATTCAGCCTCTCGCCTCTGAGGGATGCTTGGAAGATCTTCGGCCTTTCTTCTCAACTTTGACCTCTTCTTCTTTCTTTATACATATTTTCCTTTGATTTGTCCCATCCGATAGACGCTTAGAGAGAGTAGATATGCTCACACTCATTGGGAAGTCCGCCATATACCAAAGAATATTTAAGTAGGGAGTCGGTAGACAAGCCTAGGCACCAAGTTCATCATTTCGGTCGAGCCTATTATCGGTGTATCTTTCACCTATTGGATACAATAAAAATGAATTCAACAAATATATTATATTTAAAAAGTTTTATAAGTATGAAATTCACATAGACATATTTTATTTTTATAACAAAATACATTTTATTTTAAAAAAAACCGCACGTAGGTGCGGGTATTAGTCTAGTTATAAATAAATATTGGAAAATTTTTCAAAAGTACTTCTAAATTGATCATGTTTTTATAGAAATATGAAATTCTTCAGCCTTTTAAGGTGAGCAAACAGCAGTAATAACTCGTGATACCTTTTAGGTTGGGCGTATAAAGAAGATCTCCATAAAAAAAGAGAGGTGAGTTCCGAGATACGCCGGTAAGTTGGCAATACTTCAAAACTGTAATAATGAGTTCAAAGATATGTTGATAAATTGATAGTACTCCAAAACTTGAATCAGCAAAGTCCGATGAAATCTTGACAATTGGTACTCTAAATATGATAGTGAATGGGCTGAAAACCTTGATAATTGCATTATTTAAATCATTATAACATTCATTTCGGATAGCATTTGCATTTTTTATGCATTATCTTGTCAAATATGGTTTAGTTTGCATTTATTTTAGAATTAGTGAGTCTTAGCCTAGATCTTGCACATTTGTTACTTTTGAGTGTTTTTTACGTATTTTGTAAGTTATGTAAACATGTTAGAGTTTGGTGGATGAGCTAGAACCAAAAAAAACTCCAAAAAAATGAGCAGAAGTCGTCTAACTTCACATTGACAATTTGCAATGAGCAGTCGCGTCAATACAGAACTCTATGGGATCAAAACGAGGTAACATTCCGATGTCGCACCTACTGTCGTAAGTAACTGAAAGATCGGCCTGGATGAATGGTTTCCATTCCGATTTAGCCTTGGCATTCTTCATAAAGGTCATAGATAATTGAGTTCCATCGCTTGGTTGTGGTTTCAAGTCATTATGATCTGCGGTTCAAGAAATACGACGGTTTTAGCAAGCACATGTCCGTCTAGAGTTTTGATAGACCATTTTGATAAATTGAAAGATCGGCCTGAACGAAGGGTTTCCATTCGTTTGGTAGCGGTTTCAAGTCATTATGATCATCAATTAGGGAGATGCGGCGGTTTTACCAAGCATTTGTGTATCACAAGAGATTGTTGATAACACCATATTTTACCATGATTTAGCTTGCATTTAGTTCATGTTTTGGTATATTTTATGCATACATTCATCATATCTTGTCCCTTTTTGCATTCATATTAGACATGATAGATTTTAGATTAGGCATGACATATTTTGCATTATTTGGAGTCTATTTTAGATGTATTTGGAGCTAAGGAGACATAGTGGAAGATGGTGAATGGTGTGGACAAGAAGAACTGAGCTGAAATCATTGTAAAAGCTCGTCGAAGACTCATACCGTGGAGGTCCACCGTAGAGAACACATTTTCCCTGCTCGGTGCAACTGAAGGTGCGAAATATATGGGTCCAGATGAAGGCCTTCAACTTAGATTCAGCCTCTTCATTCTTCATAAAAGTTGTAGAGGATCCAGTGAACTTGTCAATGGTGGTGGAATCAAGTCATTCTGACCCGGGTTTAGAAAGTTACAGCAGTTTCAGCAACGCACTATGAACAACCACATGACATACCGAGCAAACCCAGTCCATACACCGACAGTTCTACACGAGGGCGATTGCACTGCAGAGGGCACGTCCGTACGCCAAGGGACCTGCACGAGGGCGATCATACCAAGGAAATGCACCGTGGAAAGCCACTCTTGTCTCTGCTCGGTACACACTGCACCGTCTAAAGCCGAAGAAGAAGTTTGCCCGATATGCTGGATGATATGAATGTATAGGTCCTGACGAAGGCCTTCCAGTGTGATTCAGCCTCAGTCTTTCTTGAAGTTGAAGAGGATCAAATTATTTTTCAAACAGAGGTTGAATCAAATCATTCCGGTAAGAGGTTAGAAATATACGGCGATTCTGGCAACAATGTCTGCATCCAGGACTCCACACAGAACAGATGTACCGACGACAACCACTCATGTCCCTGCTAGGTACAGACTTATCTGAGAAAAGTTTTAACTTCTGTGGACCTTTTTATTTGTTGACCAAGGTCGTTTTGAGGCTTCCCCTATAAATAGCGTAGACCTAAACTCTTATTTTCTTATCCTTTCTTTTGCCCCCAAAATTTTTCATAGATCAAGAACAAATCTTTTGTGGGTAATTGATTGGATCATTGTATATAATTTTTTATGTTTCTCTTCTATTAATCTCCAGTCTTTAATCTTTTAATCGTGCTTCCTTATTTATCTTCCTTAGTCAATTTCGAATTTTTGATATTTAGTTTTAAGGTTCTTAATTTTCGGTGAACAAAAGTGTTTCTTTTGATGCTTAAAGATAATTAAGATGTTAGATCTTTGATTAACTCTTCTTATGTGATTGTGCTTAATGCTTATTACCACCCTTTATGAGAAATAGATCCCAAGCGTTTTGTCTTGCAGCTAAGATGTTTGTTAAAATGCTTGAATGAAGTTCATAGCTTGAAAATGGTGTTTGATTATCATGACTCATTGCATCTATCATTTTTTGCATGATTAAGCTTATTGCTAAAGTACTTTAGGAACGGGAAATTGCCATTAGACATTGATTATGCATGGAAGTGTGAGTTAGTGTTTGAATCATTGCATAAGAGATTGGTGTGCTTAGCCTAAGAGATTAGTTGTCTGAGGTGCTTTTTGGCTCTATGGACCTTGTGATTGAAAGCTTGCTGACTGTGTTTCCACCATCGGAAGTGGGTTAGGAGTATGATTAGTCAAAGGGGTTGGCACCAAGGGATTGAGTTAGCCTATATTAGTGGTCCTTGCTTAGAGTTTAATGCATTGATCTTTGCTTGAAAGGCTTTTCTTGAATTGGCATCATCTTGTTAATCATCTAATCTTGAACCTCTGTTTTCTAGTTTCCATTTCTTGTTTTAAGTTGTTAGCTTTCTTGTTCCCATGTCTTCTTCTTTGTTCACCTTAGGTTGTTAGTTTAAAACCTCTTTTTATATGACTAGGCCTAGCATAGCAAGTTTTCAGCATCTTGATTGTTCTTTAGCCCTTAGATTGGATTGATAACCTTTCTATACTACAATGGCATGGATAGAGAGGTTTTGAAAGATACCAAAAACTCTTTTTTTAATCGCCAACTGCATATCGGACTAGTATACTGATGTAACAAACCAATATTAGCCTACCCGAGAGGCATACCGGACAGGCGTACCGATATAACAAACTAGTAAAATAAACTGACCAAGCCAAAGTCCGGGTCAAAACCCAGTTTGTTTCAGGTTGACCGGTTCAACTGCTTTTACTATAAATACTTAAAACCTATTTTTTATGAGGATCTTCATCTTGTTTTTAAAATACTTTCTCCTTTGGAGGTTGTAAAAGATCTTTTAAAGTATACGCATTTGGAGTTTATCTTTTTTATTCTTTCATCTTGTT